AACATGCCTATAAGTAATATTAACCCAGGATGCAAACAACTACATTTAATACCTTTAAGTAGACATATTCTAAGGACTTACTACCAAGATCTCCCTTTCTAAATCTCCTATATAAAGAGTGAAACCTGTCTGTGTGCTACTAGCTGATCTCTAAGTCCCTGGCAGAGGAACTGCTAGAATTAGATACGTACCACCTTTGCGGCCAGACTGCATCATCATACGCCGCCGGACTGTATCAAAGGGATATGAGGTCAGGCCAGCAACAGCAGTAACCGTCTGAGCAATCATCCAGCTGATCAAGATGTGGGTATTCTTTGGATCAGGAAGCATCCCTGTAAGTGAAAGAATTAGAGATAAAGGAGCAGCTAAGTCGCATCTTTCTTCCAGGTTCAGCTGGGAAAGTAGGGAACAATCAAAAACATCCCCAAAAGCAAAACTTACCCTTTGCAGTATCATAGATACCAAAATAAGCTGCTCTGTAGATAATGATGCCCTGGACAGACACATTGAAGCCTTGGTACATCCCCCGAACGCCGTCAGACCTGAAGATCTTGACCAGGCAGTCTCCAAGACCTTTGAATTCACGGTCAGCCCCAGCTTTTCCCACATCAGCTGCCAGACGCGTTCGGGCAAAGTCAAGAGGGTAGACGAAGCATAGAGACGTAGCACCAGCAGCCCCACCAGATGCCAAGTTGCCAGCAAAGTAACGCCAAAACTGGGTTCTTTTGTCAACTCCACCCAGAAAGACCTGCTTGTATTTGTCTTTGAAAGCAAAGTTGAGGGCCTGAGTGGGGAAGTATCTGATAACATTGGCCAAATTGCCACGCCAGAAAGACAGGAAGCCTTGCTCCTTGGGGATCCGGACCACACAGTCAATGATGCCCTTGTACTGCTTATCTACTGTGATCTGCTTGCTTGCATGTTGTACCTGTTAAGAAGAAGGTGAAATTCAGTTTGGCAATGTCTGAACCCCATTCCCCAAAATGTAGACTAGATGCTCAAATCATGCGAACTTTGCACTGAAGTTGACTGAATAAGGGAAGAACAATTGGGGCACTAGTATTTGCCAACAATAAAAAGTATCAATCAGTACAAGGCCTAGAAGTCACACTGTTCAAGAACAGACTTGGGCTGTCCAATTAGACTCATGACAGCTAGAGAGCTGCTGGCACACATGACGCAGAATTGCCTAAATGGAGAAATCTTGGGTCAAGTTTCAGTTTCTTCCTTCTGGCCCTGCAGTATAGAAAAGTATAGAAAAATGCTCTGCCCTCCCTGCCTACCTGCAAAGGACATATCTACGTTTAAATGCAAAGTCCAAGTAAATGTCCTTGAAGTATGAAAATCAAGATGGCTACTTTTAACTGGAAGTCAACTCCTCAGTAAGACAACAGGCTATCAGGGAGAGAGATAAAACTAGGATCAAAGTTTGGATTAAAGACCTTTACTAAGGAGGATTCCCTGTTGACAATAGTGACTACTGGACAAGTCATTTGAAGGTGAAATCCTTCCCCTAAACACCTTGCACCCCAGTAACAGCTGCATAGCAAGGTGACCCCACTAACCAACTACCTTTTCAAGGTTTCTCTAGGTTCAGTAGAATTCTCCATAGGAAGTAGTCAAGGGCTGTTTACTGCCTCGGTCAGTAACTCCAAAAAGCAAAAGGCCAGGGCCCATCCCCAATCAGACTAACCAATGTCCTTGACACCACCCCCATTCCCTCCATATACTCCTCTAGCTCCCGGATTGGCAACAGCAGGGCCTATTCCAGGTAATCCTCATGTGACTGGCTTCAACCTGGACACCTCCTGTCACTGACCACAGGTCATCAGGACCTTCAACGAAATGTGACCCTGAGAGACCTTCTTAGTGGTCTAATGCCAGCTTAAATACACTTCACAATTCCATTCACCACACAGTGCTAACCAACCGCTGTATCAACTCTGAGCCTGCGTAAATCCCGAACATGAAGTTCAAGCCGGTAGCCTCAAAGGGCAGCTAGCCTTCTCGGACAACCTTTTACCCTCCAGGGTCACTGGCCACAGGGTTTTTTCTGCCGCCGCTTTCAAAGGAGCTCTCCGAGGAGCGGAATTTAAAAGCTGGCATCGAAAGAATTACTTTTCCCCTCCCGGGACCGCATTACTCACTAAATGCCCCGATGCTGTTTACGCAAACAAGACACCTCAGAGTCCCTTACGACTCTCCAAGGACGTCGAATTTCTAGAGAGCCGTTTTCACTCGGGCGGTGGGGACGGGGCGAAAATGCCCGCCTCCAATATGCCAAGGAGATGCTTTCGGGAGGCGGCGGGTGGTGCCAGAGTGGCAGGTTGCCTCCAACAGTAACAGGCGGCGGCCCGTCCCGGCCCTCCACCGCGGGAACGGGCCGCGCCACCCTGGCCGCCTCCTTCCTCCTCCCCCCCCCCTTGCACTAATCCAGCGCCCGGCCAGGATTTGCATAAGCGGAACTAGTTCGCTCCGGCAGTTCGGCAATTGCAAGCGCGTGGCTTCCGCCTCGACCGGCATTTTAAGCAGAAGGTTGGGGGCCGGGGCCCAGCGCTCGCCTCAGAACCCGGGGGGGGGGGCAAGGTCAGCCCCCACCGCTCCCATGCCAAGCCCGGCCGCGAAAGCCCCTGCCAAAGGCCCCGCCGCCTCCCTTCCCATTCAGGGTTCCCCGACCTAGTCCAAGGAGACCGTCTCCTTGGGCAGAAAGAAACGCAGGCCCGAACGGGAGCGGGAGGCGAGAAAGAAAGGCTTCGCCTCCCCTCCCCGGAGAGAGCGGGCTGAATCAGGGCGATGCGCGGGCCTTCTTCTCCTTCTTCTCCTTGGGGCGACCTTGGCGATGCCTCTCGAGGCTCCCCCGTATCTTCTTGGCGCCGGGATGCGCCACGAGGCCGCGTGTCGCCAGCGCAGACAAAGGCCAAGCGTCAGAGAGAGACCGGCGCGCGCCTTCGCGCACTAGACGCCCGGACGCCTTTGCCGGGACGCCGCGCCACGCTTTGCTGGCTGGACGAAATGACGGCGCCCCTCTCATGCAGCCGGCCGACTGCTCCTCTCCCTTGACCTTCTCCCGATCCCGCCCGGTATCTCCCCCCCCCCCCCGTCAGCCCCAAACCCAACGCGAGATCCGTTTTGCGGACGTCTTCGCTTCTCTCGCCCGCCCTTAAAGCGCCTCTCCACATGGCAAAACCAACCATGCCCCTTGGGCTAAGTCACCCGGCCCTCTCCTCCCCCGCTGCGGTTCCCACTCCCCTCACCTGCAGGAGCAGCTTGATTCTCTCGATGGGGGCCACCGCTGTCTTGGAGATGGCGGCTGCCACTCCACCCGCCAAAAAATCTTTCAGAAAAGAAACGGCCGCGTCAGTCATGATGCCGGGAAGAAACTGGAGGGCGCACAAGAATCACTTCTCTCCGATGGAATGGGGGGCCAATGTAGTACTGATGGAGACTGCCGGCTCAATGAGACCGAGCAACCGAAATGGCCGGTTTTTATACAGCCGCGAAGGCTTCAACGTGGGAACGGAGGGAGGGAAGGAAGCGTGGGCATCTACGCACAGCCACTTCCCATTGCCCTGATTGGCCCTTGGTGGAAGGGAGGGTCCGAAGAGAGAGCTGCAGGGGGGAACAATACGGGGGTCTGTATCTCCTCTAATCCCTAGCATCTGGGCTTGTGGTTCTAGTCAGGCGAGGAGACCCATTCTCTAATGCAGGGAAGCCCGAACCTCAGCTACAAGGGCTTGCGGCGAGTAGATGGCTGACTAGGGCGCACCTAGAGGCAAGAAAGGGATAAGGACGGTGGCTGTAACCTTGGGGAAGGTGCAGAGAGAAGGCAGGGCTTGTCTCGGACACGGATGTGGTGTGGGTTTCCACCTGCTTGACGCTCAGTGACACAAACAGGGTGTTCCTAAGGCAACCCCAGAAAGGAACATTCTGTGTCCTTAAATGTACTCTCAGCCTGATACCAGCAATCCAGAATCAGCGACACCCCTCTCCCCAAATCCCAGTTTCGTTCAATTTGCCAAGTCTGTTTCTTGGTGCATGAACGAGAAAACCCCATTGGCAATCCCGTTAATGTGCATAGTGCAATCCAACAGGGAAATATCCTTCTCGAGTCTCATTAAAATGAATGAGCACTCACAATTGTGCTCATGCGCTTCCACGAGGCTAGAACAATATCCAAAACCTGTAGCTCCTTATAACTCATAGTAAGGGTGGTTCTGCTGTTTTATTCCAAGACGGTTTAAACAGACATTACATTCTTTGTGTGAATGCTTAAAATTCTGGTACATGAGGCCGAATCTTGCACTGTGAGGAGAAGTTCCCCTCTACTGGAAGAGTGTACAGGGGTAAGAGGACTGCTCCTTCTCCCCCACTTGGGTAGGATGATACAAAGGAAGGAAAGGCACCTATACCTCTTTCATTTCAACACAAGCAACTTTTCTCATCCTTGTATGAGATGCCAAAGTTCAAAGGTGATTTCACATCCTGTTTTTTGGGCATCCTTAACACATCTGGCTGGCCACTGTGAAAACAGAATGATTTATGGAGGGATCCAAAAGGGGTTTTCTGTTAATGAAACACACCATGAGAAATGGTGTACATTTGAATTACTACATAATTTGTTATCTGGAAAAAATACGTTTAATATCAAATACACCTGGACAAAATAAAATGCAAAAAACATTGCAAAGACTAGAAGATCAATTGTCAACAGCATTATGCATATTCACAACTAGAATGACTGAAGTATACGAGTTACATTTCCCCCCTCCATACTGAATCATGGATACGTGTGGACATATATGAACCAGAAGGAGATGGAATTATTTTATACATTTTGCTATTTTCATTGAAAGGGCAGTCTCTCATTCTGCAGGTCCTCCTAAGTTTAAAATCCAGGCAGCTGCACCATCAAGTTTTCTGCTTTCTTCAATGCATTTAAAGCTACAGCATAACTTGCCACAAAATCCTCCTGCAAGACCCCATCCACACATTCAAAAATGTCACAAGGTACAGCCTGGCTGAAATTGCATAATTAACTTCCTTCCTACCTGATAAACTCCCCATCTGTAGAAAGCTAGCTTCTCATGGAGGATTCTAACGGCCTTCTTCCTGTGCTGGTTGTCTAGGTGTAGTGAGTTCTGATGTTTTTAAGGGGCCCTCCCTCCTTCCTGGGGGTAGCCTACCATGTGCTTCAGATCTATGGCAGAATATGCCCACAAATTTTCCAGTTACCATGTTCTTTGCCGGTTTCCCCCCAGCTTCAAACAAACAAACAAAAATACCTCATTCAGCCTTTAAAATCAACACTTTGAAACCTGTTTTTATTTTGGACATTATGTTCTTGGTGATCGGAAGTTTCAAACACATTTTCAGGGTTTGTGGGGTTTTTGTTATCCTTTGTGTGTGCTTTTATTTTTAAATAACAAGTTTTATATTTCAAGGCAAGGCAGTCCATACTTGATTTCCAGTTCCAGTGTTTCCAGAAAAAGTGTTTAGTTTGGGCTTTTTTTCCAGATAAGACTGATGCACTGTTTGTAGACCTCTTGTGACAACAGGCACACACCATCTGTTTAGAAAACCGTCTGCATACTCTGTGTCACACTCAGCTGAACACAGGCCAACATCCACATATGGTGGCCCATTACAGGCTTCATAATCCTTCCATTTTAGCTTTCTAGCTGGGACTATAAAATGGGGAGGTGAGCCCAGCTCTTGGCAGGCCACAATTCGTGGCTGTTTGAGCAGCATCTAGATTAGAGGATCACCAGTTGTGAAAGCCTGGTTTTATAAACGAGGTTTTAAGCTAGTGTCTTCATTTCAACTCCCCACTAAAGACTGGTCATAAACCACAATATCCATTTTGCAACATCCAAAGTCTCAGGAGAATGCTTTTCTGGACTTAAACATTTTTTCTTCCAAGAAGTTTTAATTCTTGCAGCTCTCGGGGATGTAAACTCTGGTCTACTCCTGGTGTTAGCTTGTAGCTTAAAGGTGAATCAATGTAGCCATTTTGATACAGGCAGACCCGCTTACAGAACTCAAAGGTGCTAAACATGACCCCAAAATAAGGGACAACCTGTTAAAAAAAAACACACCCAAATTACTGATATTACTCTCTTACTCTCCAAGCCCACTACTTGGTCTGTGAAAACAAAGGTTGAAACTTTTACTTTCTACATCAAATCTATTGATTAGGAGCATCACATTTTCATCAGTGAGGCTGTGTTTTAAGGATACACTGTAATTACCATTTCAAGTTGTTTTGGTTCTAGTATGTTACTCTAAAATGTAATTAAAATGTGAAAATTGACTTCTAACAGTGCGGGATAGCTTTTTTGTTATATTGTATGTTGTTTTGCACTTCCATTAATATCTTTAAAATATTAAGTAATGTATTAAAATTTCACTGAAAAGGAAATGCCAGCAGCTTTAGGGCTGAATTTTAGTCACCCAAAGCCAAAATTAGGGGCACACATGGGTTTTGCAGGAAAATAGCCACATACAGTAAATTAGTCAAACAACTCATTTACACTCATACCTAGCAAGATGAAAAATCCCAGTAGTCCATTCATGAGTACCATGAATCTGTCTCAGGTGTCAATGAAGTGAAACAGCTGTAATACATACCCTGAGCAAGTTAGCCGTAAGCCCATTCCAAAGGGCAAGGACTCCCTTAGTCTTCACCGTCTGCTTAAAACAGTCTACCAAGCCAGCAAAATGGATGTCTACACCTCCATAGTTGGGAAGGCAAGGACTCTGGGCCTGCTCGGAAGAGAACACAGAAAAGTTTTGAAGTAACAGAACTGATTACATTCAAAATAAAGAGGGTCTTTTTTCATCACACCTTGGATGCTAGCTAGAACATCTTGTCAGTTCCAGAATTTGGATGACTTTGTTGTTGGTAAAGCAGCACAGCCCAAATCAGATGCAACAGCATCTGAGAGATGACACCATTACAGACCACTCACTAAATGAAGCATCTCTCCATTCCAGCCTGGTGCACACAACTTCCCAGTGACTTGCTCCTCATGAGTTGGCAGGGAAGTCACTGGTCAGCTCAATGTACAGTTTTTGGCCCAAGAAGCACTGTTTCCTAACCAAAGGGGTTCTGCAACACCACATAAGGTGTTGCGGCAAGTACAGTAAACAGGATGCCCATTTATTTGTCTAAAGTATTTATACGCTAACATTTTCAGCCAGATTGGTTTTCAGAGTGGTTTGCAATTAAAATCTGTTACACTAAAAAATAAAAACAATCACAGCCATTGCTGGCCATGATAGCTAGGAGGAACCTGATACTTTGTGTAACACCCATCATTGCAATTGCTGGATTACAGCAATGTATCCTATATGGAGCTCCTTGAAGACCGTCTGCAAGCTGTAGCAGGTGCCAAATGCCTCCTATCTGGAACAGAGAGTATCACCTAAATCCTGGCACCCTTGCACTGGGTCTTTATTTGCTTCTGAACTCAATTAAAGATGGTGGTCATTACCGTATATAAATTGTGCCAAGTTGTACAAGGCAGAATTATTCTGAAGGGCTTTTGACACTTGCCACTTAATTTTTTATTATATATCTTTGTTAGTTTTTGTGGATATAGTGTGTTACTAACCCAGTAGGCTTAAAATGCTATAAATAAATACAAACCCTAAACTTTCTGACCATGGAATATCTCAAGTGCCACCTTCTCCCACATTTCCCTCCTGAATAAGCTTCCTAATTCTGAAGAATCTTTTTCTGTTTTTTGTTACTCAGGCAGTTGGGGCTCGGAAAAGGGCTTTTCCAGCCGGCATAATGTTCTCCTTACAGAGACTCATTCTATCCTTTCCCTTGCTTTATTCCAGCGTGACACTGAGATCCACTTATCCAGGAGAGGATTCCCGAAAGGATTATTTATTACAGAGGAGCATTTGAAAGTGATATGCCTTCCCACCTATATTCCAGAGAGGTATCCTTCTACCAGCTCATTCTCAGTTCATTCTGTTGCAGATACAGCCTGAGGTCTGATTTATACAGGAGGATGGACCCTGTGGAAAGTTTTAGCCATGCAAATTTCCCACAGGTGGCAGCTCACATTTATACCCTGACCCAGATGGACCATGTTAGCCCAGTCTTATCAGATCTTGCCTGCTAAACTGGGGCCCCGGTCACACGGAGCATTAGTCACGCTAGAGAGACGGAAGATAGGTGGATTTTCCGGGCGCGATCTCACCGCCACATCTGGGAAGCGTAGAGCTCCCGTGGCTCACCCGAGGCTTCACTCCGAAGATGCGCTGTAAAAAACTAGTACCTCCGAGGTACTAGTTTCCGGAAACCGCGGGGCAAGGGCGGGCGTCAGATCACGTTTCCGGTGTTAGCCCGTGGCATCCAGTGCCCGCCCATGTCCCGTCGCGAAAAGTTTCTTTTTTGGTCAAGTCTCCACGGGTGCGCACAAGCACCCAACGGCGCATGCGAACACTTGGATTAAAAAACTCCAACACAACCCCCACGGAGCCGCTTCTTTGCCGTGCCACAGGAGTGAGGTATGATCGGCACCTCCCCCCAACCACGGGACGTCGGGTGGGACGTTTGATCCGGCTGCCGCATGGTAGTTCGCTCCGGGGCAAACAGCCACACCTCCCCCCCGCGATATCCGGCCCGTGTGACCAGGGCCTGGGTCGGCCTGGTTGGTACTTGGACCACCAAGGACCACCAAAGAAATACAGGGCTGCTACCCAAAGGCAGACATGGCAAACCACATCTGTTTGCTTCTCTCCTTGAAAACCCTACAGGGTCATAAACTGGTTGCAACTAGATGGCACCTTCCAACACCACCATTTAATCACTGCCACAGTTCATTCCTAGAAACCACAAAATGAACACTGTGTCTAAGTCATTCACCTCAATTAACAGACAACAAAGTTCTATTTTTACATTAAAAGTGTATTATTGTTTCTTATTGTGGCATCACAATCTTGTAACAACTTTGTTACATATATTCCATAAATTCACATAAATACACAAACGGCAAGCAAAATACTCTGCATTCAATGATGCTTCCGCCATTTAACAATATTGCTACATTGAAAGAAGTGAATCAAGTATCCAGGACCAATACTGTCCTTGCCACAAAATTTCATTCCATACAATCACAGAATAGTTGGCCTTCACTCATAGATTAATAATGTGCCAGAAAGACCACTGACATTTGGCACATTATTAATCTATGAGTGAAGGCCAACTATTCTGTGATTGTATGGAATGAAATTTTGTGGCAAGGACAGTATTGGTCCTGGATACTTGATTCACTTCTTTCAATGTAGCAATATTGTTAAACAGCGGAAGCATCATTGAATGTAGAGTATTTTGCTTGCCGCTTGTGTATTTATGTGCATTTATGGAATATATGTAACAAAGTTGTTAGAAGATTGTGATGCCATAATAAGAAATACAATAATACACTTTTAATGTAAAAATTGAACTTTATTGTCTATTAATTGAGGTGAATGACTTAGGCACAGTATTCACTTTGTGGTTTCTACATTTTATACTGTGTACCCTTATTTATGTGAATACAGTTAATTCCTAAACAGAGTTAGATCCTTTTAAGCTCATTGAATTCAATGGACTTTAGAAGGTGTAACTCTGCTTAAGACTGCATTACTAATAACTCAAGATAACCTTTACAAATGACCAGAAAGGTGCCCCGATTACATTTACATCATAATCCTAAACAGAATTATTCCATTCTAAGCCATTGCAGTAATTCTGTTAAGGACTGCACAGTCATTGGTACAGTTGCGTGCAAGCCACTGATCATGTGAAAGGGGCCAGTACGTGCAGTCTGTACACTGAAATGCAACTGGGCACACATGGAACAAGCACATGTGGTCCGGCAGTCCCTATTAGCCATGCTCCACATAAATCATACCTCAAAAGGATTCTGAGAGGTGATAAGCCTGAAGTGATCCCCTTGGGCATACACTTGCCCTGTGACGACATGTGTGAGATTCTTCTGTTACAATATTTCAAGCTCTTGGCATCTCTAGTTTCCTTAGTGACAGAATACCAAGAGTGTGAGCCAGCTAAAATGATGCACTTAAGCAGAGCTCCCAGCCAATCAAGGATTTAAAAAAAAAAACGATTAAACTTTATCCCATCTTTCCTCCATCATGGAACTGATGCAGCTTATGTGGGGTTTGTACAGGAGGCTTCCCTTCTAGGCAGTGAACAGTCCCAGACATGCTACATTGCCCATATCATGTGCCCTGCATAGACCATATTCTGTGTCCTGACTTTCAGCCAATTAATCGTTTGCCTTTTAAGTGACTTGTAGATTCCACTAAAATTCAGTACAGTTTCCTGTCTCTATAATTCCAGTGCAGTGGCCTTTCTGAACTACTGAAAGAAGTTTCAGGTTGTTAACAATTACTTCTTTTTATGATTACCTACCAGATACAAAATAACTTCTGAAAACAAAATAGCAACACGGGCCCTTTACTCAGCCTCACTGATTAAATTTCCTTTAGTGGATTAACAGTACCCCCCACCAATTAATCAACTACAGCTTCAGTCCTCTGCATGCACACATCAAAGTGAGTATCATTAAATTGAGTCAGGTTCTCCTTCTGAATAATCCTTACAAAGAATGGACAGTGCAGTTTTCGTTACTTGCAATGCAACCCTATGCAGAATTACTTTGGTCCAAACCCAGTGGACTTAGACTAAGTAACGCTGCACAGGGATGCACTGTTAATCTATCAACTGAAGCTAGCAGCCTGTCAGGAACCATCAGGACTAGAAACATGACACACTGCTCAAAATTCCAAAGAACAGACCAGTAATCCTAAAGAGAGTTAAGTCCACTGAAATCAAAGGGCTTTGGCATGCTTAAACCCAAATAGGACTGCTGCTTGAAAAACTTGTGGTGACTTCTCTGGTTCCAGCCTAGCTTCATCCACTCAAGCAACTCAATTATTCCACCCACCAGCTGAACCCTGCCCCAGGCCTGGCTGACAAATCCTAATAGGCCACAGCTGGGTCTCTGCTTAGGCAACTGTCTGATTAATGCTAAAATACCCATTAATTCTACTGGGAGATTTGAGCCCATATTTATTTAACTGTTCCACTAAAAAAAAATGTGATCAGAATCTTAACTCGGACTGGATTTTGTTCTTAGCAATTACATATGTCTCTTTTTCAGCTGGTGTAATTGTGTCTAAATGATGTGCCACTGTTCTAGCAATGCTACATTTTAATCTTTAGGTCTCTTTCACTGTTGAGGTATGCAGCTTAGGAAAAGAAAACCCACTCCAAGCAGACCTACATTTACTTGCAGCAAGAAAGATATTTTAGGGCTGTTCAGATGATTCATGCTGCGCTACAACAAAATCCCACACTTTAAAATCTGTGTTGCTCCTGTATTGCTTCTCTTCTGCAGCCAGGCACCAAAACGGGCCATCTTTCAAAGGCTGCCGCCAAAAAAGTTTTGGTTTTATACCCCACTCTTCACTACCCAAAGGAGTCTCAGAGTGGCTTACAATAAGCTTCCCTTCCTCTCCCCACAACAGGCACCCTGTGAGGAAAGTGGGGCCAAGAGAGTTATGAGAGAACTGTGACTGACAAGAAGTCACCCAGCTGGCTGCATGTGGAGGAGTGGGGAATCAAACCTGGTTCTCTAGAGTCCCGCTGCTCCTTTGTAAGCCGCCCTGAGCCCTACAGGGGAGGGCAGGGTATAAATTTGAAAAATAAATAAATAAATAAATAACCACTACACCAAACC